ACCTCTTTGATGCTCTCACAATAACCACTCAATAGCTACTTTCGACTGATTATCTCGCCATCTGTAACCATTTCTTGGTATAATACCGATGGTATTAGATTGGAGGGAGTTTCGACGATATACTTTTTTACATGCAGAAGCAGAATGGTACAAGCCTCTGTGAAGGAACATACATTAGTGGTTTCCAGTAGTTGTTGTCTGAATTTCAAACAAGCCTGGGTGAGAATTTTGACGTCTGATATGCAATAATCTACCATCTCCCGTTGCATAATGAAGTCATCATCCTTATGAGATTCGTACCATGCAAGGAAGATATCGCGATCACAACCCTTCATGTTATCAGCGTCGTAGAATTCAACTGATGGCAGTGGACCGACATAATCTTGATTTTCTATTAAAGAGGTGTGGGAAGTATTCTTTCTTGAGTTCGTCGGCGAGCCCAAAAGCTTTCGGATGCTTCGATAGAGCCATGGGAAAATAATTCAACGAATCTAAGAACTTGACATTTCCTACTACCATCATCACCAGCTTGGTACCTCGCATCATTTGTTTCTCAAAATTCTCAAATTTCGAAATATTTTCAGGTACTGAATTTCCAAATTTATATCCTTTGACTGCTGTAGTTGGTGTTGTCGTGGATGTGTGATTTCAGTCGCTCAATTGATGGCGTAATAGCTTAGCCTCATCCGAAAAATGTATCAAACACCCATCGCAGAAAAATTTCTCATGCCCGTTCGAGGATATTTGGGCGGACACCAATCTAGATAAATGTTTTATCCAACAATAGTGGCTCTCACTCGAATCATTCGTTATAAGGAGTAAGGTTACATGTTTACTCATTCTTTTCTTCGAATAATAGAGGGGGCCGACAACGTGGTATTCAACTTGTTGATTTTCTATTACGCTTCCTAACCCAAAAATGTTGAAGGAGCAATCATTGAGGGTTTCAAATTTTGGAATTCAACTTACTTTCATAGGAAACTCTATACCACTCAAATCCAAAACTGTAGAGAAGTGCGGGTATGAAGATATCTCACAAAGTTTGGCCCTTGCTGGATATAGGGCGTGCGTCACGGCCCAAGCAAAACAGCATTCATCCTGATTCACCACATTCACTCCCGCCCTCTTATTGTCTATGAAACTAGGTAGTTTGATGTAGGAACACTCACGCAGCGGACTGTATTTATTGATGTTTATTTCGAGAAATAGTATTTCCTCTAGAGCCCAACCTGTAACAATGGAAAAGTGATTTTTTTATTGTTACATTGTAATGTCTGGCACCACCATCTCCACCAAGCCCACCATATCTATGCTCGGTATTTCCATCAGCAACACTCTTTCATGGGATAATCATGTCAGATCCATCGCGAAAGCTGCTTCACAAAAACTCGGATTCTTGTTCCGTGCGAAAAGCTACTTCACACCTCAACAGCTTCTCATGATCTACAAAGCGCAAATACGGCCTGTTCTAGAATACTGTTCTCACATATGGGGTTCAGCACCAAAACATACGCTGATGCTCTTAGATTCCATACAGAGAAGAGCCATCCGCCTGGTGGGTGACGCCACACTCACTCACTCTTTGACATCATTGGAACACCGTAGAATGGTCGGCGACCTTTCACTTTTCTATCGATACTTTCACGGGAAATGTGCTTCGGAAATCTCTGCTATCATCCCTCCACTAGCAATACCAGTCAGACGAACTAGACAAGCCCAGTCAGCACATCCTTTCGTTGTCAACCTCGAAAGATGTCGAACAGCACTTTATCAAAACTCCTTCATCCATAGAACGGCTAGGCTCTGGAATTCATTGCCTGAGGAAGTATTCCCAACAACATATAACCTACAGAAGTTCAAAAAAAATTCCAATACCTACCTCCTATCCCTATCCTCCCTAGGAACGCACGATGTTCTTTGAACATTATAGGGATTCCCTTTCGTGCGCTCCAAGCGTTAAAAAAAAAAAAAAAAAATTATTCAAAGAATTGAGTTATATAGGTGTGATGATGCAGATATTCAAATCATCCTCAATTCACCAGAATCGCGTTCCTCAAATTCAGTTGTTTGGTTCACGATGATGTCTTTGAATGTATCGATGATGGTATCCAAATCAAGGGATGAATCTACGATGTGATTCGGTGTCGCAAAGGATTTGATGTCGTGAAGATCCTGAGATTGTAGAATATATCTACCGAATACTTCCATATTAACCTTGATGGTGTGGTGAATCGACAGAATTTTCCCCAATAGGGATGATAAAGTCGCCTTATTTTCGGTAAAGAACGTGTTATAATCCAAGACAACCGTTCTACATTCCAATCTATAACTGATAATGCGACACTTGAATGCGTTTTCGATAACATATACACCATCTCTATAATTAACGCAAGCGTTCGAACGATGTTCCGAAGTCCTTTTGTGGGCAGCCATTTTATCGATTGGAACGGTTTTATCGCAAACGGTACACGCTTGCATATTGCCAGACGTTGATGCTTGATGAATAGTATTACCCAACCGCGGCCTCTTCGACATTGGTGGATCGAGATTTTCCACACACGACTTTTTTTGGTGGCGGCGTAAATTGTCACTGCGGGTGAAAGATTGGCCACAAACGCAGGTCAACATGTTTATCACTCGCGAAAAGGAACGATAGAGTTGAACGATCGATGATGTCAGGAAGACTACAGTCTGGGCATGCAGAAATCGGATTTATAGAAGAGGGGAGTCGTGACGTAGGTTCACCCCACTACACCATCAAACAGCCTTGGGAAGAAGAACACATGCGCACTAGAGTGGATACACTCAACCCAAGGTCACCACGACAATTCTCCGAGATGAAACCTTCGTCCCCCTCCCAAGGTCACTCCCAAGGTCGCCCCCAAGATCGCTCCGAATGTCACTCCTTCAAGGCCACCCCCAAGGTAACTGCCCCCAAGGTCACACTCCTCTGGCCTTGGGAAAAGATTTGGTTTTGGCTAAAGCCTTCTACTTTCATAACTATGCAGATTAAAAAGGAAAAGGCACAGAATATCCAAGGACACCAATTATTCGTTGAATAATCAAGATACGTTTACCCAAAATTTATTTGCATTGAGAATCATATCTCCATTTTGATATCAAATCTTATATTTTAGAATAAGTGGATCTATTAACAAACCCATGAAATATTGAGAACGAATCAATAAATATTGAAAAATAGTAAATTTCATCAAAAAAGTATAACTGGAATAAGAATCATGTCAAGTCTTACACTAAATGAAATCCTCCAATGAATATTATTATAGGTTGCTATAGTATCTCGCTTATTCAACGAAAAAATAGATATTCTTGGTATTTCTGTGCCTGTCATAATGATGTAAAGTGTTATTTATGGCCATGATATTGATATTGTAGACATGACGACTGTTATTTCGTTTTCCGATTATCATGGCCTACCACATTTTTTCAGCGTTATCTCATGTGGAAATGTCAACATATTATACATGCCTGTCATGGGAATTTGTAGCTCTATTCAGTGGTATGAACACCAAATATAGCGCCCGTGAAAAAAACGAAAGCAGATTGTTAAATCTCTGAAAATATTGAGAATAGAATATTTTTGACAATCTCAACTTTTTTGTTATGATTGATTAACAGGTAACACAAAATTTCAATATTGTTTCTGCAATATCAATCATGGAGGTGAATGGAAACGAAATCACTTATATTAAGTTTTTTCAAAATATATCAGGAACGGCTGATATCTTTTGAAATTGCAGAACGTCAAACAAGTTCAAGTTACGCAACTTTTGTTCAATCTTATCAACTTTCTATTTCATTCCGTTCAGGAAATATAGCAATACGGTCCCTATAAAATCGTTGGAAACTTGTTAATTCATTGATAAAAAAATTTACATACATTTCTAATAAAATAAGTTTCAAATGAAACATTGGCATCTTGGCACCAATGACCCCATATCAAAAATGTTCAACCCTTCGTCGCAACCAAATTGTAACACATTCATTTTCGTTGGAGCAAAAAGAATTGAGAAAATAAAAACAGCCGTTCGGAGCTTAACCAGGACGAGGAGGAGAGTCAATTCATAGACATAGCAAAGTATACAGGGTGTAAATTTGAAAACTCCCAATGCGAATATCTCGCGAAAGAAAAAAGTTAGAAAAACGCCGTTTGGCAAAAATGCTAAAGAGTTGAGGGGAACTAGAACCACCATATTTCGGTCAAGGGATGAGTCACCCCGTCGGCGCGACACACCCCAACTTTGAAATGTCAAATGGCGCTACCTTTTTTGTGATGCCTCAAATGAACAGTCTCAGTTAGTAGTATTCACCTGTACAAGACTTTTTTTCCACCCACTACAGGGTGTACGAAAAATATAAAGTCGAATAAAATAAAATGAATTGTGTTAAAAGGATATTTTATTTGATCAGATGTTCAAAATGAGCAATACTAAAATCGATGTTGAAATGCCATTGCCATTCTAACATTTTGGAACACATTTCTTGGAGTATATCGGCATTCTGCATTTTATTTTATTCGACTTTATGTTTTCCGTTTACCCTGTAGTGGGTGGAAAATAAGTCTTGTACAGGTGAATACTACTGACTGAGACCGTTCATTTGAGGTATCACAAAAGAGGTAGTGCCAATTGACATTTCAAAGATGGAGTGTGTCGCGCCGACGGGGTGACTCATCTCTTTACTGAAGTATGGTGGTTCTAGTTCCCCCTTACTCTGTAGCATTTGTGCCAAACGGCATTTTCCTAAGTGTTTTATTTAGCGAGATATTCGCATTTTCAAATTTAGACCCTCGAATTAATGTTTTTCGTACACCCTGTAGTGGATGGAAAAGAAGTCTTGTACAGGTGTATACTACTGAAATTTACCCCTTGATATCTCCCTTTTGCTCTCTGAGGGTCACCGTGATACCGCTATATTGATTCTTGCAGACCCACTGATTCCAGAATATTTCATACTCGATTGAAAAGACGATCACTCACATTGGCAACTTGGCTATCTCCTGTCCGAAGGTTTTTGATGCTCTGAAGTGCAGATCCCAGTGTTGCCAGCTGGTGAGTTTGCTGGTTTCCAATGTTTCTAGTTGCAACCACGACTGCCAGTGGTTCTTAACGCTCTTCAGTTGTTCGAAGAGATCGTCTGTACATTTGGAAACATTCTCCAGAGCACTGGCATGTCTATTTAAATGGAGAGAAATATCATATAAGTGACTCAAAATCAGGGGCATTCATTATTTACAGGTTGACGAATAAAGAATTACCCAAGCTGTTCAAAGAAGCAAAGCAAGTTGGCTTCTCGAATACTGCGAGGATGCAATGATGATGTCCAGAATATTGAAAAACGAAGGCTATAGTACACCGTCTTCATTACGATCCAGTTCTCAAACGTTTTTGGCTACGAAACATCATCAGGAGTAATTTCTGAAAGTAGGTGAAGATTAAAAAATTTGATTTGGAGTTATCTAAATGAAGTTCAACTCACTTGTCAGAAAGTTTTTATAAAAGATTAGAGCACAAGAAGAAAATTCTCATGTGCTCAACACTAGATAATTCAAGTTTTCGAGAAAACTATCTCCTGATGGTTGCTGTAGCCGAAAACGTTTGAGAATTTGATCGTAATGTAGACTGTGTTCTGCCTTCATTTGGTAATATTCTGAATATTTCAAATTATACACAACCTTACCCTCTGTTTGATAATAATGTTGTTTCGAACTCAACCTCATGATTAGAGACTGAATTCAATTTCTAAATAGTAGTGTATATCTGTTTGAATTGTTTCTTGGGAATCGAAATTGTTTTCTGGATTTGAATTTATTGATGAAATTCTCAATCAAGTTTGAAATTGACAATGCATTTCATTGATATAACTCTCAATATGCCATTTATCTGATATATTCATTCGGCAAATGATTTTCACTCATAATTCCTCACATGAACATGAACTTTTGATAACAACGTGATAATTGCTAGACTCGCAGCGTGCGCTCGTGTGTACTCCGCTAAGTGATTAAAAAAGTCGTATACAGTGGTTTCAAAGCCTATCAGAAGTTTGAATGTGATATCGAATAATTCAGAAAATTATCCTGAATCCGAGGATTTAATTATCAAATTGTTTATCGGTGAGTCTCTTCAGTTATAACGCTAAAATGCAGTCGATATGTAAATACTGCGTTCAGCATATCACAAAAAAGTCTCTTGGCCTTCAGTGTTCGGGTTTTTGCCAACTCCACTATCACTTCAAGTGTGTAAATTTAACAGTCGACCAGCACAGATTGCTGAAATCAGTTCCAGGCTCCAGCTGGAAATGCCCAGCTTGCGCCGTGGCTGATGCCAACAATTCGCTGCGTACGGCCGCTACGGGCGCCGAAACAGCGACGAATATCTCGTCCGCTGTAGACGTACTCGAAGCCGAAGACGGCGAATCGAATATACAGGGGTCGACGAAAATCTTCATTTCAATGAGAGATGAGCTTAGAGCTATGAGGCGTAGCCAAGAAGAACTAATCAACTCTGTATCGTTCTGCTCTGCCAAAATAAGTGATTTCGAAAAATCACTTGTAGAAATACGGAGTACGATGAAGGAGCTTGAGAAAATGAAAGAAGAGAATAATGTTCTGAAAAAACAAGTGAGTGATCTGAATTTGAAAGTGAACGATATTGAACAAACCTCGAGGCTAAACAATATTGAAATACAGGGCATTCCTGAGAATAGGAATGAGAATCTGAAAACCGTCGTCGGTTAGATATCCCGGTTTCTCGGCGTTGACATTTTAGATAAAATTGAGACCGTCCATCGTGTTCAATCTGACAAAAATAACGAAAATCGTCCAAGAAACGTAATCGTTAGATTCAACTCTAGAGAACTCAGAGATCAACTGCTGGCCTCAGCTAGAGCGAAGCGGCAGAATAGCGATAACACAATAAAAAGATCAATTAGAGTAAGTGATGTATTAGCAAACTTATACATAAATGAGGACCTCACTCTACAAAATAAGATTTTTTTCAAAGAGGCGCGTGAATTTGCAAAGAGCAATAATTATAAATTCGTATGGGTAAAGATTGCCAAAATATTCATGCGCAAAGATGATACGTCACACGCGAAACTCATTCGTAGCTCTTCTAATCTCACTACCGCCTAAAGAACCGGATACCTTTATACCTACTTATAATAATTCCTCTATCAAAATGGCTCTACAAAGCCATTGTCAAAATGTCCGAGGACTAAGAACAAAAACAGAAGAATGCAAACTAAACTCGACAATTATAGATGCAGATATTTATTTATTGACTGAAACATTTCTTAAAGATTCAGTGTTTAGTGAAGAAGTTTTCTGTGCTAACCAGTATACAGTTTTTCGACGTGATCGTCAAACGACTGCAAGTAAAAAATCCGATGGGGGAGGAGTTCTGATAGCGATTCGTAAAACATTCAAGACCGTCCTTCAAGTAGAGTGGCAAAGCGATGCTGAAGATATCTGGATCACTGTTTGTTGTGAAGGTTCTAATCATAAATTGCATATATGCTGCGTCTACTTACCTCCAAAAGACGACATTGCTAGAGTTTATTTCACCAGTAAATTGAATGACATCCTAGATATTATATCTGATGACTCTGTTTTAATTTATGGAGTTTTAAATATGCCTCAAATCGACTGGATCAGAGTTAAACAAAATAATTTCAGCAGACCTTCGAACATCGATGAAAAAACCGCAAGTTTGTTCGATTTATTATCAGTAAATGAACTTATGCAATACAATTCTATATACAATGCTAACGATAGATTGCTAGATCTAATTTTCTATAATAAGGACAACGACGTCTATAATCTCAACATAAGTGACACTCCCCTAGTCAATATTGACAATCATCATCCACCATTAGAATTCAATTTGAAAAACGTCAAATTGAATAGATTAAACTATAAATGTGAGATATTATACAATTTCAAGAGAGCTAAATATGTAGAACTCAATAATTACTTAGGAAATATTAATTGGTCTAACGTATTCGGAAATGAATCTGTAGATGAGTCAACTGAAAGATTGTATAATGTATTGAATCTAGCGATCGAAAGATTTGTTCCCAAATTTGTGATTAGAAATAGAAAATATCCAATTTACTTCTCAGCTGCCACAATTAATGCAATAAAACAAAAACGCTCAACTCACAAAAAATGGAGACAATCTCACGATCTCAATTATTATAACGAATTCATATTTCTTAGACGTCGTAGTGAAAATCTCATTTCCTCTGATTACAGAACATACATAGCCGACATTGAATCCGAAATACAGGTGAACGTCAAAAAGTTCTGGAATTTCACTAAGAATTCAAAGAACAGCAGAGGATTTCCGTCATTAGTAAAATTTAACGATAAGGAGGCCACCAAAGGGGAAGATATTTGTTATATTTTTTCCACTTTCTTTCAATCTGTTTGTGAACCATATTGTCAGCGACCTCTACTCAACCCCGACATGAGCGAAAGCAATCTCACACTCGATAATTTCACCCTAAACGAAGCAGAAGTCTTAAAAAAACTTAATGATCTCGATGAAAAAAAGGGAAGTGGCACGGATGGTATTCCAGCACTATTCATAAAGAAATGCGCTAATAGCTTATATGTTCCGTTGAATAAATTGTTTAACTTATCACTAAAGGAAGGTCATTTTCCAATTTTATGGAAAACTGCATTTCTCATTCCGATTTTCAAAAACTCTGGAGATCGGGAACAAGTTACGAATTATCGAGGTATAAGCAAACTCTGCATTATGGGAAAAGTTTTTGAAAGTCTGGTGTACGATATAATGTTCAACCGATTGAAAGGTGCAATTATCGAAGAACAACATGGATTTTTCGCAAACCGTGCAATTGAAACAAACTTAGTAACGTACACTCAATATATTTGTAATCAGATGGATGAGCGAGTTCAGGTAGATTCTATCTACACCGACTTCAGTAAGGCTTCCGATAAAATCGATCATAACATATCGATGCTTAAACTTTCTGAAGTTGGTGTACATGGCGATCTCTTACGATGGTTTTCTTCGTACGTTTTTAACAGAACCCAAATTGTGAACATTAATGGTTATCAGGCTAAAGCTTTCACAGTGACCTCAGGAGTGCCACAAGGCTCACACTTAGGTCCTCTGCTATTCCTGATCTTCATTAATGACGTGAAAAAGTGTTTCATAAATTCTAAATTCTTACTTTACGCAGACGATCTAAAAATATATTCTAAAATTGAGTCTCGTGAGGACTGTGCAAAACTAAACTCTGATCTTCTGAGGTTCTCACAATATTGCGAAAAGAATAGACTATTCTTGAACATAAATAAATGTTTCATTATCTCATTCACATAAAACGTCAAGAACTTTGAATTCAGTTATAATATGTCAGGTACTATTTTGAAGAGAGTGGAGGAAATCAAAGATCTAGGGCTGATTTTAGATTCCAAAATGAATTTCATCAAACATTACGATTATATAATAAGTATATGTAATAAAATGTTGGGCTTCCTCACTCGAATTTGTAAAAGTTTTAAAACTCAGAAATCATTGAAATCTCTTCACTTTGCATTTGTTTACAGCAAGTTAAATTTCGCAAGTGTGATTTGGAATCCAGGATATACCGTATATAAACTACGGATCGAAAAAGTACAAAATAGATTCGTAAGATTTCCGAATTTTAAAATAAATGGCAGTCGTTTGGCAGTTTGGAACTAGAAAAACGAAGAATAATCACTGACTTAGTCTTCACGTTCAAGGTTCCAAGGAATCATTATGACTGTCCAATATTATTATCATTTTTCTCTATACATATTCCTCCTAGGAATACTCGCAATAATTTCTTTCTCAATATAGATTATCGAAATACAAATTTAGGCCGTAATTCTCCAATTATTAGGTTAAGTAGTAGTTTTAACAAATATTGTAGTATTGATATTTACTGTATATCTTTATTCACTTCCAAACAAAGAGCTAAAAAAATATTTCTCACCTAAAATTCCAAAATTGTTCAACATTTCAAATTTCACTTCAACTATCATATTTTTACTCACTTCATTATAATACGAGCTGTCATGTAAAATATTGTATCAGCGGATACTTTTTTGGGTTTTGAACCTGTTTGTATCCCAAAGTTGTAATAAATAAATAAATAAATAAATAAATAAATAAATAAACATTTAAGTTCTGCCAGAATGCTCAGAATGGAATGAGATATCAAATAAATTCAAGAAGCTCAAGGTCTCTTCAGAAATGTTCATAAATGAAGTAAATTGATAGTTAACGGGAAAAAAACTAGCATTCCTGGCTATTTGCCACGCAGAACATTGAATTACACCCTTCTGAAATCTATACAACAATTATTATTGTGAATTATAGATTTTGCAGTTTTTCGAAGGTTTGATCCCTCGAAAGATTGAGCATATGCCTCTTCTTTCAATCATCTGCTTCAATCAAAACCGTTTTTACTAAAATGCATTCAAAACTTTGTGGAGTGGATAATTAGGCACAATGAAAATGAATATGTGATTTTTTACCGATTTCGACAATTCGGTCTCCTTACTTTCCATGTTCTCAGTTCATTTGCATTTGTTGGAAAGCTGACGAATTCACATTTATTATCCAACTGATTGATACAGTCTAACGCAACACATTTTACCAACCTCCCAAAACGCCTATGAATGTAACTTGACAGCAATGTCATGTCAGGGACTCCAATACACTCCAATACATAGAACCAAAGTAACCAGATCATTAAGAGAGAAAAGAGCCATGATCTGCCTCTGTGTAGATTAAAAATACGTCAATTCACATCAACGGACCCAAACTAGACATATCTTGACATCATTATATTCTCGGCGAGCCTAGTTTTTCCGATTTTCTTGAGTCAACTTCAGTTTCTATTAAGAGAAATCAAGTTGTTATCGCTATGAAACGATTGATAGGCGATAATTTTCCTGTCAGGTTTTTTTCATTCTACGCCAAAAACGCACGTGTGTCCATTGGGAGGAAACTTCTGTTATGGTGGGACTTGAACAGACTTGCGTCTGTCATTCTCAATGTCGAACTTCACTTAGAATCTCCACATCGAGGGAAAAAAGATATCATTATAGTATAAAACGGCAAAATGAAACCTATCAGTTGTATCAGCTTCAACCTCACGTCTCAGCAGTGCGCTGGTGGGTAATCAAATATATGAATAAAAATAATTGTCCCTACAAATGTCAAAGAATGAGATTCTTGCCTGATCACAATATACGGAGTGACAGTTTTTACAGTTTCCAACGTTACCATGACACCTTGCGCGAAACAGTGCGTGAAGTGTAACAGTGTTCGAAACGCATACTTCGCGCACTTTTCATGAAGCTAAGCATATCACTCATTCAAAAACAATATTTTTCGACGTTTGTAGATCCAATTTTTTTTGCAGCAAGAATAAATTTTATGTAGTTCAAGATCGAATAGAAAATGAGTTAAACAAAATTGTTTTGGAAAATGAAAAAAGCATTCATTGATGGAATTATCTTATACATAAATTATTTCGACGTTTGTATATACAATTTTGTCTGCAGCAAGAATAAATATTTTGTAGTTCAAGATCGAATGAAAGATGAGTTCAACAATTGTTTCGCAAAATGGAGAAATCATTTATTGATAAAATTATCTTCTGATAATCTCAATACCGGAGTTGAATCAATAAAAATACCTCTCTAAGATTCCATGGAGTAAAGAATTATCCATTGTATCAGATATCATCCGGAAATTCTTAGGAATGTCGAGAAACTTCTGTAGCTGCTTTTCATAAGCATTCTTCAGATTCTCTTCATCAGGCAGATATTCCAATTTGGAATTCCTATAAATCAAATCGACCTGAATCTCGGGCAGATACACATGCAGCGTATTCAAGTTCTCGAGGTACTGCTTCTCCAAAACATCGCTGAGTTTGGTGTCCAAATCGATCTTCCAGCTAGTCATGTTTCTGAATCCCTTGTCCTCAACTTGAGACAGGACGTTTCTTATGTATTTCGTCGTATCCTTCCACTTGTTCAGGTCTTTGATCAGGTCATATTGTTTCAACTCTTGGATCTGAAAATATTTTACAGTTTAATCTACAGTTTCTATACCACAAATTTTGCATGTTTCGAGGAAATGATTTCGAGTGTATCTATGTCGTTCTCCAGGAATATTCGAGGGATTGAGATTACATTTTCCATGAATTGGTCTTTTATCCTAGTTTTTATGCTGATCAATTACAAATCACATGAATGTCTCGAGCAGAAAAACTATAACATCTCCAATAAATTTGAAGTTTCATTTTTCACGTCTCACGATCAAACAACATCTTCCTCCAAGTGATACAGCAGAACATTCAGTGTATCGTCTAAATTCAACGCAGTGAAAATGTTATTTGATAAAAAAAATGTTATCTGATACAAATGAACACATCCCTAAAATTTGAGGTCATTCAGAACAGAAATTCGACATTGATGCTCAATGTCCCCAGAAAGTGAAATACGAAGTATATTTATAGAAAATCTCCAATTGAATTCATGTTTCCCAATCGTCTGCCAAATTTATCGTAAAACTGGGATTCTTGTATACAGTCCACTCATTTGATCGATGGAAAGTCTTCAGAACTTCCTCTGATGGTAGAGTACAAAGTAGTGAGACCGTGAATATAATAATAATAATAATAATAATAATAATGATAATAATAATATAATAGGAGGGGCAAATCTCCCAGAGGTTTGCCCATGGTGAGTAGCGACACCACCTTTCCGAGCTGAGGGTGCGAAATCGGACTGGCAGCGAGAGCGCACCCTGAAGGAGAAAATCTTTTCTCCTTGCATGTCAGCCGTGGGCCTGCTAGGTTAACCACCTGGCAGGTCCGAATACTCTGGTTCCAATCAACCGAGGACAGGGCCCCCACAACCGACCCCAGCCGGATAGGGGTCAAAGGCAAGGTGGTGGGGCCCAACAGGACGGACAGCCTGATAACGACCGCGATGAAGATGGACGCTTTGAATGGACAGATGATCTGAGAGACGACCTTCTGCAGTGCTTCGAGAGCAGCGATCCAGGGCGTAGGGGATACATGAGGCGGATGCATGCTCTGTGGATTGAGCAACACCCAGAGCATGGAGCATTCACCGCTCAAAATCTGCGGGATTATGTATCTCACCTACGCGCTAGACAATACGTAAGAGTCCCTTCTCGGCAGGAAGATGGTGTGGAGGAACAACACGCTCCACCCATCCTGCTCGACAACGAGAGAGGGGACCGTGTGCTTCCTGAGGTGAGCGAAATCAGGAACCGCAGGAGCCTACTCAACATTAAGGCCCTGCGGACCCGAGACCTTGCAAGGATGGATGAATCGCTTCAAGAAACACTTCCGGAAGGGGCTGACATCTGGCACATCAATTGTGCCGTGTATGACGTGGTTCGGTCCTCTCTGCCAGAGAGACCTATACAAACGGTCTCACCGATTGAGAGGGCCGATCGGCGTGTACAAAAGATGGAAGCCAAGATCCAGTCGGCGAGACAACACACTTCCCGTATCCAGTGTGTGATGGATTATGTGAGTGCCAACAGGCCATTCACATCGAAGGTGCGACGGATGGCCACTAAATTACGTCGCACCCATCACACACTAAATGAGGCAGTGCTATCCACCATCAAACAGCACTGCCTCGAAAGGATACGGATGTTAGTGGCTGCAAAACAGTCACTAAAGAGGCGAGCGAGAGGGCTGGCGGAAAATAAACAATTTCGCGAACAGCCCTCTCGCTTATTCCAACCGCCTCCAAGTGTGGTTGACAATCCGCCGACTGCTGATCAGGTGGAAACCTTCTGGAAGAGTATTTACGAGGTGAGGCATCCATTCAACAGAGATACTCCAGCCCTGGCGCAGTTCGGTACCTTCTGCGGAAGATACCGAGAGCCTGAGCCCGAATTACTGCGCCAACCGATAACCACTGAGGAGGTTCGAGAAGCCCTCAAAGGCTCCAAGAACTTCGCTGCTCCTGGTCCCGATGGGATCAATAACTTCTGGTGGAAAAAGTTTCCCTCTACCCACCACCATTTAGCCAGGATATTCAATAGCTGGCTGAATGGGGAGCAGCAAATCCCTGAGTGGTTTATCGAGGGGCGAATCGTGCTTCTCCCTAAGACTGGAGATTTGTCCAATCCGAAGAATTACAGACCAATTACCTGCCTGAATGCATGTTACAAGTTGTTCACACGCATCTTGTACATGCGAGTACTCCTAGTAGTTGATCCGGTTTACCAACGGATTTTTGAGCAGCGTGGGTCGAAGAGAGGTGTCGCTGGCTGCAAGGAGAACCTGTTGATAGATAGATCTATTACACAGGACTCTGTGCAGTACAAGCGGAATCTTTCTGTGGCCTGGATCGATTACCGAAAAGCATTTGACACAACGTCACATGAGTTACTCGTGTACTTGTTCAAATGTCTTTCGGTACCCGATTCTATAGTGAGATGCATAGAACAACTGATGCTGGTCTGGAAGACCCGCTTTACTATAACATCAGGTAATGCGAGAGTTCAGACAGAGCCAGTTATCATGAGGAGAGGAGTATTTCAAGGAGACTCCCTTAGCCCTCTCCTATTCTGCATCTCACTTCTGCCACTATCCGTTGAGCTCCGCAAAACCAGAGGATACAACTGCGGCCCACCCAGTTACCGGAGGCATAAAGTCACCCACTTATTCTATGTGGATGACCTCAAACTGTATGCCTCTGGTGAGAGGGATATGGACCAATCCCTCAGGGTGGTGCAGGAGTACACGCAGGCAATTGGAATGGAATTCGGGATGGACAAATGTGCACTGGTTCATCTCAAGAGAGGACGATGCGAGAACTACGACAAGGACGCGCAGCTCGTGGACGGAAGCATCCTACACCACCTGGATGCCGGAGAGACGTACATCTACCTGGGTGTAGAGGAAACTCACATCCAGGAGGCACAACGGGTAAAAGACGCTCTCCGCAGCAAGTATCGACAGCGGCTCCGACAGATCTGGTCGTCAGAACTGTCGGGGAAGAACAAAGTCGCTGCGACTAACATGCTTGCTGTTCCGATCCTACTTTACTCATTTGGAGTGATGAAGTGGACTCAAGTCGAGCTGCGACAACTTGACGTAAGTACTCGCAAGATGATGCATCTCCATAGGAGTCTGCATCCAAATTCGTCCGTTCCACGGTTATACATACCTGGAGACCAGGGTGGCCGTGGACTCTTGAGCTTGGAGTATCTCCATAACAGAATGGTTCTGGATGGCGCCAGCAAAGTCATCAGGAGTTCGGATCCCCTTCTGCAAATGGTTAAAACCCATGAAGAGGCAGGAGTAGGAGCTTTTCTTTTCAGGGCAGCACGTCGAGCAGCTGATGAATTGTCTCTGATTTTCGACTCCGAGCGCGAGGCTCAGGACTCAGTTACTGAGCTAGAACCCGCTCGGAGAAAAGCCCGCATCAAAGCTGCAGAAGTGAAAAAGCTCCTGCAGCTTCACATGGATAAGCCCATGAATTCGGTCTACTTCAAGACCATTGAAGACCGGGGCTTATCCAAAGAACTGACTTTTGCTTTTCTGAAGTCAGGCGGGCTCAAATCGGAAACAGAGGGGTTCATCATGGCATGCCAGGATGGGGTTTTTAACACTCTCGTCTACCGTAGCCGTGTCATGGGTATGGAGGTCCCTGACACAAGTTGCAGGGCCTGCCGCAGGGCGCCCGAGACAATTATGCACCTGCTGTCTTCTTGCACGGTGAATGCAGTCTCGGCCTATATCCATAGACACAATGCGGCATTGCGAGTGCTCTACTACTATTTGAGGCACTCGTACGGAATAGACGAGACCCCAGTGCTGCCCTATGCTCCGGGGGATATTGAGTCCGTTGTGGAGAATGAGAGGTGCCGAATTTATTGGAACTTTTCATTCCCCACCCTCAGGCAGATACAAGCTAACAAGCCTGATGTAGTCCGCCTCGACCATCAAACCAAAGCGATGTTCGTGATCGAGTTTTCGGCGCCAGCCGAACCGAACATCGTTTTGAAGGAGGAGGAAAAACGGACTAAATATCGAGATCTTCTCTTCGAACTCCGCCGGCTTTATCCAGACCATTCTGTGGAATTGGTCATCCTGATAATCGGCTCCCTAGGAGGCACACGACACACGCTGCTCTCGGAGATCCAGAAAATCCCAGCGTGCCGTGATAAGGCACACATCCTCGCTGGTGGAATGCAGAAGGCCGTCATACTAGGATCATTGCGTCTACTCAGGGCACACGGTACTTGGTCCCAGTGATTACTCACCTCACAGGCAGTGAGGAGTAGTCACTGGATTTTATCCAGCACGACTCTGCGTGACGTCGGAGGCCGCAGGGTCGTGACTGGAATCATATAAACTCAAAAAATATAATAATAATGTTTATTCAACAATAAATGATTTTACAATATATCCAGAATATATAAGAACATGAATAAACAGGGATAATCACTGAAGCTGTTTTACCAGCTTGTGTGTGATAAACAGATTGATTCTAAATAGAAATATAAAAACACAGCATATCAAAAACATTGGTGAAAAACTTGAGTATAATGTAAAAGTATAAAATTGCACTTTAGGATAATAATAAATAAAACAACTGACATTAATAAAACAAATACCTATAGTAATCCAAATGTGTGATGAACTAATGCTAAATAAAATATGAAATTATGAACATCGCAACCTTTCAAAGACATTGGTGTAGAACAGTTTAAAATGACGAGTAAATGTATAATAATGAATGATATATCTGACATTGATATAAAAGTATAGGATGACATTAAATGTATGATAATAAATAAAACAACTGACACTGATAAAACAAACATCTACGGTAATACAAAAAAGTACAAGACGTTCTATTCAAACTTTTTTATTTTTTATTTATAAATAATTCAATTTTCTATAATTTTGTACATTTTGTTTTTGTCCTCTTCTTCAACAAATTTCGAAAGTTGGGTTTTAAGAGTGGGCAATAGGACTGGAAAAATGAGGAATACAGCGCTCTCGCTCCTGACGC